AAACCTTGTTTTCCTACTAACAAGGTTTGACAAACTACAACGTGCGTACATCAATAATAAACCCATGATTCATGAAACGCATCTGACATCCGATACGAACCGATAATAATATGTGCTATGAATGAATAATTGATTCTGATACTTGTTGTGACGGAGTTCGGAAATGTATACTATTGGTAGATACTAGTTTGCGCGCTTCTTATATCCACTGTTTAATGTTTTTTTTAAATCGTTAATTTTGTTTTTACGATCGAATAAAAAATAGAATAATTAAATACGGCAGTTGACAAGAGTAAAAGTGGTAAAATAATGTCCCGTCTAATGTTAATTACCGCTGATATCGCATATTTTCCAATGATGTTTTTTTTATCACATGAGAAATAGTGTAAAATGCTTAATATAATAAATTTAGAATACTATAATATTTAATAAACAAAATAATCATAATAATAATCAAAATAATAAATGTCCGATTAACATGAAAAAATATATTGTTACATTCATAATATTAGTGTCGTCGTAGATAAATTTGAAATTGTAAAAATGTCTAATATAAAAAATAGTTTTTAAAAATATATATAATCTTCAGTTGTACACAAATATCGCGGAATATTCAACAGCACTATAAACGATTAATATGATATTCGATATGCGAACGACTTGTGAACAATAATTGGTGTTTTTTTCTTTTAAACACATATTTTGTTCGTATATTATATTTTTTTTTATAACAACATTGTTTTTAGCAGCTGTAAATATAATCATTTTTTCCCGCTTTTTTTTTTTTTTACATTAGCAAAGAACGGGCACGCTGCACCGCGCACAAATAAAATATAATAATACAAATTACACGCGCAATGAATAATTGAACATTATTCTTCCGCGTGTACCGTCTTGTTGTTCGTGTAACATCCCGTTGTATAACGGACGAAGCCATGCCGGACGATGAGATTTGCTCGGCAACACAAGATAACGGTTGGTTTTTTTTTTTTGGCGCATCACTGTATAATTAGTCCGTGATGTCGGACCGTTATTTGTCCCACGCCAGAGTCGGATTTCGCGTTCTTCTGCCGGATTTTCTACTTGAGCGTCCGCCGGAGGAGGGTTGACGGTTTTCCGGTCGTTGTTTGCTTAGGAGCTTTAACCACCCACCCTACCAGCTTTCGACAATCCTCGCCGCCCACCATGGCTGTGGCCGACGATCGTTAAGTAAATTCTTTCCACGACCTATAGTTTTTGGGGGGGGGGATGCGAGGGGGTAGTCGAAGTGGGCAAGGTTAATGGGTTTGGATTTTTGGCGAGGTGTTTTTAAAACGACACATTCGGTACTAGAAAATCGTCGTCACGTTTGGTCAAAGTATGTACGGGGTGCTTCGTTAAGGACAAAGCACTCGACAATATCTCTTAAAGTAATTGCAATTTTCTAGTGGTTTTTTTGAAAACATTTTTGTTTGAAAATTTCGACTGGTCGATATCCAATTTCGGATAATTACTTTCAAAGTTATTTAAGTTTAGAGTTTAGGATCTTATCCTTAGGAATTTTGATCTGCACGGAATTGCACTACCGCACTGTTCCGAATTTTAAATGTGTTACAATTTAGATTTTAAAAGTTGATAGAGCTGTGAAATAAAATTATACAAAATAAGAATGCGAGTATTGTCTAAAATTTGAAAACAACTTAAACTTAAGTGGTAGTGTTTATTATGTGGTTCGTGTCTTCAATTTCTCGGTGAAGTATAATTTATATCCCGCCCTCTACAAATGCAACAAGTTAATTCTTACTCTTTCAGTAACACAAGTATACGGTGACCGTGGTTTCTCGAAAGTATAATCATACTTAATAAGTACCTTGTTACAAGGCTTGTTGGACAGTTTTACGATTATGAGTATTGAGGAAGGGTGTTGAATGGTGTAGATTCAGATGAAATAATTAATAATTTGGCTAATAAAATGAATGTGATAACAAAACTAATTATTGTAAACCTAACCTGACCTGCTCCACGAGAAGCCAACCCAAGATTTTTTCGGTTTTATATTTAATAGATAGGTGTATAAATTCTCGGTAGACCTAACGGACGCTGTAAACCGTTTCAGAGTTATAGCCGAGACGCATTGTCGACGAATTCGAAAGAAAGTAATCAACATCGCTCGACACACTGTAACATGGAATTAATAATATTTGTGCCGCCGAGAGCAAAATATAGTACTGTTAAGATTGCTCGTTGTTAGCTGTTATCGCGAATAAACCCAAAACGAACGGTGCATAAACTGTTTGTTATTTTTCATTGATTAGGTACTCATTGAATAATTTATATTTTACTTGTATCCATGTAAAACGATGAAAGACAAGAACGAAATACTCGTAATGCCTCTAGCATCAACGTTTTTGGGCTTAAGGAATATATTATAATATGTATATATGTATATATATATACACATATTATGTTATATTTCAACGTACCTTTCTCCTTAAAAAAAAAAATAAGCTGAGCTTATGTGAGGCGGGGACGGCCAATCTCTGTTTTGCAGTTAGCGGAATTCGAACCCGGATTCAATCTTATATGTTATAGTTTTTGTCCAATTTAGATCGGATAAACTCTGAAGAAAACTATATCTACTGGGATGTTATATACGGCTGCATATTTTTTTCAAATGTATGCAAATACTTTTGCTATAGTATTTGTTTACTTGGGTGAAAATAATGTAGGATTCTTAATTTCTTAATAAACAATACTAGTGCTTTGTTTAGCTTTCTACTTGTCCAGCTGTGTTTAAACTAACAAACGACATTATTTAATATCAAACAGGATTAAAACCTGCAGTAATTTATTTTTATCAACAATAAAAAAGTATTGTTTTCATGTTTTTGTATATTTCGAATGAAGTATTGTATAATGTAGTTACATTTATGAATATTTATTAGTATTGTTTTAATGAAACTAAATTACAACACCAATCAAGTTACAGTCGAGATCTTAGTTGTGCAAAATATCAGTTTAAAAGTGTATATTCTCGGAAATTTGTATTTATTCGATTATTGGAATATTTATAAAAAAAAAAATACATAAATAAACATTTTAACGTGGTGTAAATAGTGTTGATCGTTAATTATTTTTAACAATATTCGTTGTCTAGAAGTCGGTTACGAGCCATTGTATTTTGATTTGATATAATTATTATTATTAATTGCATATATTCGGTTACCGCAGTTAGTAGTTACTCGATTTGAAATTTGAATGTCACCTTTATCATATAATACGACCTAACCCGAATATTATACAAGTTACTTTGACGATTTCGTTTACCGCGCCCTAATCTTTCGTTATCATTTAACTACAATTTAATCTTGGACTCGAATTCCATTCTTCAGTAGCCGGATATGAGTAATAATAATTGTATTCTCAGTGCACGTGTTTTTAATAAATGTCAACGACATCACAAAATTCTTTAGAAGTCCTTAGGGTTCATAGAAATTAAATTGACCGCCGCGCCACAACATTGAAATGAAAAAAACTATTTTTTGGAAATTATTTGTAGTAAAAAACTTTAAAAAAAAACCATTCTTGATTTTACATGGTAATTACGATGGCGTATACACTATGTAGCGGTATCAGAATCTTTAATGTTTAAAATTATATAAATATTTTACAGTCATAATTTTGTTTGATTATGATAAAAATGATGAAAACAGTTTGTTTATCTATATTAATTTCATCTTATTTTATCTGATTGCGCGGTATGAATTAACGATATCTGAAAATCTACCATCTTGTAATTTCAGAATAATAGACCGGATGACTCTCAAAAACACACAATGTGCATCATTACACTGTAGGAAGGCGAGTAGATAATCTGATGACTTGAAACTACCATTATTATAAACTATAGTGAAACAAATATATACTTATTTATCTATTTTCGAAAATCGTATTAACTTAATCTGTTTTAGTGTAAACAACAGTCAATATAAGATATAATATTTACTTTTCTTTTTTTTTATAGTTTTACACACTTGCAATCTTTATACAACCAAACTGCACTTTATTTTAGAGCCATAGTGTGTATTTTGCACTGTGTGTCCTTATCAGTTTTCAGATAGTAATAATTGAGTACATTGTTTAAATAACCGTCAATTGGGTGATTATTTTAAGTGTATTACTCATTGCTGGGCTAATACTTGATCTGATAGAGCTTCGTGGTTATGATCTAACATACTTTCTACGATTTTATCATCAATGCTGCCGTTACGAAAAGCTCTGCGTGTTGTGCAGTTCCATCGTAGAAACTAAACTTGTTGCCAATTCAAATTTCCAATAATAGTTTTGCACGAATTAAAGACAAATCAAAATAATTTAACACACAACCTCAGCTCAATATACGTCACCGACTATTTTAGTCTATAATAACATTATGGTATCTGAATTACCACAGATGTCGTTAGCTATGACGACAACCGTCAAAAGTGGTTTTTTAACATCTTTTGTAGGGTTAAAAATAATTACTCTAAAGTATTGAAAATACTATATTTATATATAAAAGAAAATTATAATTACAATTTTTTTGAAAATCAGTTTTTCACGGGAGGCAAACATATTTTAAAACAACAACATTAAACCAAAACACTAAAACATTAGATAACACAATAAAAAAACAGCCAACAAATAACATTCTATGTTGTTTTTTTTTTTTTTTAATATTTATTACCCAACGCGGGAGCAACTAGTATCTAGTTTTTTACCAAAATGTCACGATAAGACTTAAAGGCCACCGAAGGCAATTCGAATAGTATAATAGTAGGAGGTAACTAGTGCATCATTTTGACGACTACCTGGTGGAGATGGGAAGTAATTTGTATGCATCGATAAATAAATGTTTGATAAACTAAACAGCCAAACCAAGTCGAAGTCGTTCAACTAACTAACTCGTTTTCGTTCAACCGAGAACCGCAATGTGGAGAGTTCAAAAACCAAATGATATAATGTTGTTTTTGATTTTTCAGATTGACGAAGAAGTTATCAAGTTAAGAAGCGAGCTGTCGCGAACGAGAAGTGCGCTGACGAGTCAAGTTTTCGAAAGACACCAGGCCGTGGCCGAATTGTCTCTGAAGGTGGACCGGAAAAACGGCGAGCTGAAGGAATGTCGGCAGTCGAGTTTTCACGACTTGGGAAAAGTTCTGAGATCGCTGTACGTGTTCGAGTCGAGGCTTAGGCGGGAACAACAGCAGATCAGACGTCAACTGGGCGAGCGGGACGCGGTGATAAGACAGCAGCAGACGGAAATAGCCAAATTAAAACAAACTTTGGCGAGGACGTATTGTTGTTGTAAAAATGAAGTCCGCGACGACGGCGAAACGGCGGTGACTTCGAAGCCCGACCTGATAAGTTCAATTTGGCCGCAGCCAAATGGGGGGGAACCGCCACCGACGACGACGACGAAGAATAATGATGCCATTGACTCGTCAAACGTCGAACGGCAGACGGTGGTTTTGTTGCCGGGCACGGCGAAATTGGAAGGCCCGAAGAAAAATAATGCAGCTGTTGACACTGGCGGGGGGCCGACCAAGAAGCCCACGAAAAACAACATTAATTTCAACAAGAACGTCTACAGCAAAACAGTTACAGACCTTTCGCTCAATGATATATCGTCGTTTCCGAACCCTACGCCCAATAATAATTTATTTGTGGTATCCAACTCGGTTTTTTCCAAAAACGAATTTACATACAACGATATACCCAAAGAGGTAATTTTCATTTCCAAGCATTTACATCACGCGTACAACGCTTTCTACGTATTTTCTATGTATGGTCGTGTTGAAAAATAAAAATAAATGTAACATTTTATTTTGGTATATTTATTTCGGTTTATTATAGAAAAAAAAAAAATAAACCGAAATAATTGCTTTTGATATGTACCAACACTAGTCTCGGCGCATTTTTAATATTAAATAAACCTTTACAATAAAAAAAAGTAACGTAGGTATGATTTTATTTTCAATAATATTTTATTATTTTAAGACTTGACAATTAAATCGAATTTTGATTTTCTAGCCGAATAATAGTGTCGATTTTTTTCTTTGAGTAATTTTCTTGTAATCGTTTTATTTACAAATACTTGCGTTTTTATTATTTTAATGGAATAAATAATAATAATAATTACAATTTTTTAAGTCGTAGTTTATAATCGACCATTGTTTCAAAGGTCCTATGTCAAACCTGTTTAATGATAATTCATAATAGTCCATAGAGATAAATTCATTAATTTGTATTTAAAAAAATTAACTAATTTATTATCGCTCGGGTTGGACATGTAATTTTTCGATTTTATTATAATATACTTAACGATAAATAACATAAAGTTGTTGTTGTTTTGTTTTAGGTAATTACGCCGGTGAAACAAAACGGAAAAATAATCACGTCGGCGTTGAAGAAGGCCGACAAGTTTCCGTGTCCGAAAACTGTGCACTTTGGGAAAACTACTCATATTCCAGAACCGGACGACGACGGTCAGACCGACATCGTGAAAACTGTGGAGACTCTGCTGCTGCAGTGCGGCGACTCTACCACGGAGTCCGAAAACGATACGTCCAGCACGGCGTCCACCGAAACGTCTCCCAGCGTGTCGCAAATGGTACGCAAGTTCGAGAGCATATGTACAACAACAACAACAACAACGGCAGCCGTGGACGAGGCGGACGTCAAGGGGCTGGCCGTTAACGGCGCGAGCACTAGGAGCTATATTGCCGAAACCGCTTTGAAAGCCGCGGCCGAACTCCGGACCGACTCGGACACCGGCCACCACCCTTACTCGGCACCCTTGCTCGCCGTGGCCGGCGGCGGCGACACCAGCGCCGGATCGCTGGGCGACCTGGACCCCAGGAACAATTTCGAGGAGTTCCGGTTCGAGGACTGCGACCTGGACAAAGAGTACGGTAGACCGGAAGCGGAAGGCGTCGAAAACCCTAAGGGGTCGGCGTCGGCGGCGCAGTCGGTTTTGGCCGTGGACAATAATTGCCGGCACAACGACGGCCGGGTCAACTACGAGTCGTTTCTAGAGGTGACGGGTCTCAGTCAAAAGTCCATAATCACCGTGCAATTGCCCAGCAACAGAGACGTTTACGGATCGCACAGACACGTGCAAAAGCCCAAAGACGTCAAGAGCCGGAGTCGGGCGAAATCGGCGTCGTTCGAGTGCAAGCCGTCCACGTTGTCGTTTCCGTCCACCGTCAAATACTGGACAGAACCCTATCTCTGACCACTCTGAGGTCCGAGGTCGTGTCAGTTACCAAAAAACCGTTAACTATATTTTATTATATTTTATGTATTATTTTTTAATAATTATTGTTCATCGTCATCATTATTATTATTATACAGGGTGTTCCAGCATGAAAGGTAAGTAATAGGTGATTGAACATCTGGAGGACCCCCAAATAAGCCCCCCATTTTCATTATTTAGATAAGTAAAAAATTGAAGATTCTGTTATTTGTTGAAGACACTGCAATTCAGTACAAAAGGTTCACCTTAAAAGAGGGGTCACATCATTTTCAGTCTTTTTCAGCCCCTAACTCTTCTCTTATCACTTATCTTATCATTTCTTCTTACCTCTAGTCTCTGATCATTTATCTCTTATCACTAATATATTATTATTTATTTCTTATCTCTTGTTTCTAATTATTTATCTCTAATATCTTATCATTTAGCACCTATCTTTTTATCACTTATCATTTATTTCTGGTCTCTAATCGTTTTTATCTTATCATTTTTTGAGTTAGGGGCCGAAAGGGACTGAAAATGATGTGACCTCTTTTTTAAGGTGAGTTTTTTGCACTGAATAACAGGGAATAACTTTTTTTTTTAAGTCATTATTTTTTTTTACTTAACTGTCGAAGTCTTCAATTTTTGACTTATCGAAAAAATGAAAACGGGGGACTTATTTGGGGGTCCCCTAGATGTTCAATCACCTATTACTTACCTTTAATGCTGGAACACCCTGTATAACGTTGCAATTGATATATTTTACTAAGCTTATCTGTTTTTACCGCCGTTTTCGGCGTCCTTTCATATTATCTTTTTTTTTTTCTATTAGCGACATAATCAAAAATATTTAAATCAGATATTTGTATTTGAACTATGCGTTATATTAAGTGAATCTATTATATTATGTATTATTAAATCGAAATCCGGCCAGAACGGTTTTATTCACGTTAAATGTGATGTTTTTTTGTTTTTAATAATATATATTTTTTTAAAAAAAAAATCCATCGGGCCTATAATATTATAGAGTAGGTATAGGACATCATACTGCGGTAGTGACGCATATAACGTACGTCCGTTTGTTGATCGAAAAATAAATGCCGCATAATATTTTTTCGACCGTCGTCAAAATAAAATAATGGAAATTTATATTGATTTCCCTCACGGTGTCCTATTAGTTTCATAATTGAAACGCCAAGTTGCAAGCACGACAGTACTATGAAGTTTAAAGTATAATAATCGAGTTGCGTACCTAACGTTCGGCTAAAGATAAATATCGCCACGCGTGTACAGTGGAAACCCATTACAGGGTAATATTAACTTCACAGAAGACCGAAATCAAATTATACTATATCATAAGCTTTTATTAACAGACAAACTTTTTGAAATTGTCGGGTACCTTGTCGAGTAAAAGTTTTCAGTTTACTCCAGGGCAAATAACCGTTATGGTATCCGCCAATTATTAAATAGCTGGAAATGTAATTATAAAATAATTGAAAAGACTACAGCGACAGCTGATCAGCAGAATTCACGACTACCTACTTGTATTACATTTATTTAGTTAATATTAAAACACAACTACAAAATCTTGTGTTAATATTAAAATATGTAAGACGCATTATTTTAAACTTTAAAGGCACATTTCTCACCGTGAACAATGTTTTATCGTCATTTTTAAATTTTAGAGCAGTGATGATAAATCATTTCATCGTACAACAATTATTTTCCGAAATACATTTTATTGCGATTTTGCACTTATTTGTCCACACATATGTTTTCCGTCATTCATTCGTGTATAAAATAATAATAGGTATTTAAAATTGTTTATTTTTTATATAGCCTTTATTGATAAATACTACAGCTACAACAATTACACGATAATAGGTATTTAGATATATTTAAATCGGTTGCATTCAACATTGATTTTATGAAATCGGTTTACTTGCAATTTTCATATGAAACGTATCATCAACAACAATATGTGTTTGTTACTCTTTTCACTTGTTATTTTGATTGTTGTTCACGGTCGAAAATACAACAATGAATACAAATTGTACCATCTATTTACTATTAGTAATTGTATGTACACATTACAATACATTTTTCGCTATCATTTGTCTGCAAACAATACACGTTTTACGTTACCAATTACATTGCTCGATATCGTTAATTTTAAATATTCATAGGTCATCTGTTACTAATAAGTATGACATTATTGTGAAGTATTAATATAATAATTACACAAATAGATAAACAAGTAGTCCAACAATGGACAAAATAAACGCTTCGAATGTTTGACGTTGTAATTATTTTAAACAATACAGATGCAAATGCATATTATACTTAATCGATTGGATTTTTATAAGCACCCAATTTAAAGCGTTTTCCCTCGAACGGGTCGAAGAAGCAATTTTTTTATTAAAATAAACACCATAATATTATAATATAAACACACATCTTTGGTTTTTCAAAAAAAAAATATAATACGAATACAATTAATTAGACTAAAAGGTAACAAAGAGTAAAAAATAACACCCTTATTATTATTCAAATAAACGTCACTCTAATTAATGACCAATTACATAAACGAATCATGGTGGCGTAAAAAAATAACTTATATTTTCATGTTATAATTTTTTTTATTAAGTAGCTTAATTTATATAGCGGTTTATGGTTTTTAAATTGAATTTTGTGAGTAAATAAAGTATTTTTTTTTTTTTTTAATTAAAATAGTAACTTAAATCACATTTGCTACGAAAACTAAAAATAAATACATGACAGTCATATGACATTGAGTTCTTAATAATTTACTATTATATTAATCAATAATTGAGATGCAGTTTATAAATGTAAATAAAGTAATGTGTTTGATGATAAAAATACATATAAGTACATGAATTGCACTCATCATATTCACCTTAATCAAATTTTTTCTAAGAGTGAATATCATTCACTTGTAGTTTTACACAGAGAAATTCATAAATGTTATACTAACTTTTTATTTACATTTACAATTACTATTCAATAATTAAAAAGAACCTTATAGTAAATCAAGAGGTACAATATCTGAGCTGTACTCAAATGCCAAAAACAATAGAGCTAATACTTCTGAGTTAAGAAAATATATATTTATTTACACAGAGAATATCTTGTTAAAACATTGGAACTAGGCGATATTTTGTTCTGGAGTTAGCGTGTTATCATATTAGATACTTATAATGTATTTTATACAATAATTTAAACAATTAAAATAGCAACATTAAAATTTGGGTTCCTACTTAACACTGTTCAAGATAATTTATAACATTATCAATTTGTATTTGTTTCAAGCAATAAGTTAAACTTTTTATATATTAAGTAGTTGTATTTATTTTCATTACAACAATTGTTTAATAATCAAGCAGGTAATACCTAAGTGTCGCTTGATATTATCAATAAAATAAAGCCATAGAACTGTAAGTTTTCACTGCGCATAACATTGTTCATGTTAAATTTATTTTGAAAAAAAACATAATAATATATTGTATAATTTAAGCCAAGTTAAAATTTGGGTGTAGGAACTCCAAAACGCTCTAGTCTAAAAGATACAGTGTCTTTTCATGGTGACAAACATATTATGGTAATAAAAACATGTGAATATTGTAATTTGTAATCAAATGTTTTCTTATACAGATATACTTATTTTATTAAAAAGTAAAAACAATATCTAGTTATATCATATACATATATATTTTAACTGATTTTAGTTGACATTTAAACAATACAATAGTTTATTTTTCTGTTGTCGACGCACACGATTACAACTCAAAATTGTTATTTTGCAAATATTTGTCGGCGAGCACGAATAACGTTAACATTCTTGTGGCTGTTGTTGTTGTTCTGTTCATCTCTGCCTTCATTTGGGTTCATTCGGGATCGGCCAAATAGCGAATAGAATAATTGCTTTTTTTTTTTTAATTTAGTCGTTTTACTTGGGTTTCTTTTGTACTAAAGACACTGATAACTTGGTGTACAGTTCGTCTGTCAGTCTAGCGTTGTTACAAGCACAGGTACAGTCCATTCAGAGGAAATCTACGCTACTATACGGTTAGACTATCCATAAGTAGGATCGACAGTCAACGACATGCGATTTCCTCTGTCCACCCAGTTTTTGAGACGTCCCCTGAGCTCCTCCAGCGACTTTGATTTGGCTTTGTTGATCCTCCTGTACTTGACGTCCTTGGGTTTGGTCACCGAACGGTGATTGCTCATTACTCTGTTGTAGGTGGCCGTCACGTTCCCCCGGCCGTCCGTTTCGCGACCGTCTTCCGCGGTGACCGCAGCCGTCGCCGTTTGCGTTTGTTGTTGTGCCGCGTTTTCCGGTTGTCGTTGTTCCGGCGCGTCCGCCTGGCCGTTGCACTCGTCCTCCTCCATTATCACCGCGCTGTCGCTGTCGTCCACGTTGCCGTCGTCCACCAGCGTGGTCGTCGCCGTCATGGTCACGCCGAAGTCGGCCAGCCTCGAGTGAAGACACCTGATGGCCTGCTGCTGGCGCTCGATGATGCACTCGCGCTGATCGAGCAGTTCGCTGATGGCCCGTTGCTTTTTGCTAAGCCTCGACTCGAACAGTAGCAAATCCGACGTCAGCGATTCCAAACGACTGCCGTATTCCGAGCTGATTCTGGCCAGGTGTTCTTCCTAAAAAATTGACAAAAAACGTGTCAGTGTTGTGATATTAATATACAAAATACATTGCGTGGTTAAAAATTAGCTCTATACACCGCAATGAACGCACAAATAGAATACGGATATTTCTCAAAACTACACATTTTCAGTTTTGGTTCTGTGGTCTATAAGTGTGCGATATTATGCTAATATAGTAAAAACGACGCAATACTAAAGTGATAATTCTACAAAATCATTAGCGAAACGCACAAAACTGTACAATAGTCCCAATTTGAGCATTTGCTTCCTGATTTATTTGATATTTTGTTACATAATAAAATCGATTTATAACCTAACCGTTAGCCATATCCCGTTGCACACAACGAAACGGGAATATTTTTCTAGCGAGATCGAAATGTAAATCGACAGTCCACGCTCCATGTTAGGTAATATACGTTTAAAACAGGCACGAGCAGATGACCAAACGTGGATGGTAAGCAATTGCATGACACATAATCCGTATTGCTAAGTACAAGAGACCGTTTTTTTTTTCGTCGACTTGAAATGTACTTCTAAAAAAGTGTATCGGGAAAGTCGTGTAAAAAGAAGTGTCAAAATTGAAAATTTGTTTGAAATGAGCTCACGACGAAACCAAAGAGGATAAAATAATAATAATGTAACATTATATATATTTATATTACCGTCTATTATTGTTCTTCTATCATTAAGTGGCTAATTTACCGTCAATCGATTCCGCCGGTAAACGTTTACCGTTATCGAATCAAACCGGGCAAATACATTATTTCTTAGCTATTTTTTTCCCTTATTTCTTTCCGCAAACTAGTAGTAATGAATGGTTTTTTTTTACATTCGAGCCGAGTTCGAGTCTAGGTGTGCAAAAGACATTAACGGTACACGCGGCGATCGATAAAAAATTCCAATCCAATCCAATTATATATATATATATTTTTTTTTCCGTTCGCGGTTTTATTCAGAACTAATGGCGGTGGTACACGATGGGAAAAATAACCAGATAGTTCTACATTAGACGAGTATAACATACTGTAGCAACTATAGTAGCCGGTATCCGTACTGGAATATAACGACAGGTTTACAACATCTTACAGCAATGTGAGCACCTGAGAAATACGTGTTTGTGGGCTTAGCATTATCACCCGAACGCATTATATGTTATTGCACGATTTTTGAAGAGTAAAACACCTTGAACCAGTCGGAGGTTAAACGTTAAACATATTGTATAATATATTGTACAGTTCTGTATTTGGCTTTTCAGAGTGCCGGCGAAAGGACAGGTCGTTTTGCGAACTTTCATTTGAACGCGCAAAATCAAAATAATAATATTACTTATTGGCTAAAATCACCGGAAGTGTATTTAACACAACCAAACCTAACCCCGGGCCATATTTACTTACACCTCCTTATATAGTACAACCGTGGCCACGACGGTAATCCATTATATTGCCTTAGACCACCGTGAAATGACACATGCGCACAACGGTTAGCGACGGCGTTGATAATAATATATCAAAATTGTTTATTTACTTGAATTTTAGCTTTTCTCCGCCAGACCAGAGCCTGGTGTGTTTGAAACCGACATCTGTCCTTCAAAATCCGTATAATGGTCCTAGCTTCTTCGATTGTCTGTATTTCGTCGTCGTCCATCTTCGTTGCCGCTTGCAGCAGGTCAATGGTGGTCGTCTCTTGATCAACGCCCATTCTACAATTATTAATGTAAACCACAATATTAGTAAAACGTCAATTAGAAATTTGTCAAAAATTATACATAATATATTTTATTTAATAATAAGTACTAAGACATGTGTTTGCGATTGTTCTATAAAACAAGCATACGGACAACACCTTCTTCTGGTTTTCCTATTTAAGAAAAAAAACCCTAAAAAATGCGTACGCGACTGATTCGACATTTCTACAAAATTAATATGATATGATAAAATGCGCCGAGCAGTACAAGTTGTATCAGATTTTTTTTTTCAAACTCATTTTAACTGTATAAAAAACACACCGTTACCTCTCATGATTTTTCACTGGATATTTACAGTGTATTTAAATTGTTTTTATCGCAAATATTTACATTGTTTAAACGCAATCAACGCATAAACGAACATTGCTGATTTCTGTATCTTTTGATTTCTCAGTATCGAAATAACAATATATATAGGAAGAAAAAAAACTTCTCAGCTCTGCATCGAAGCTAAACGGTTAAAAAATATATCATAATATAAGTATAGGTTTAATATAAGGTATGGGTTGTTTGGCATTTTTTTTTTTAAAGAACATTTTCTACGTTCGTTTTTATGGTCCGGCAATTTGTGTTTGTGGCGACTGTATTTGATATCGTCATTAATTTAATATAGGTACATTTAACGTTGATATGGTTGGCAATGAACACCAAAATGAGAGAATTTTTCAAGGAAAATCAAAAAGAAACAAAACGAATCAATTGTTGGCGTATAGAAATCCATTGTTCACGGTTTTGGTCAATCGTACGGGAATAAGCGACTAAACCGTCTTTTTCAATATATTATGCCTCCGTTCTACACTAATGGATAATATTTTTTCATTGTCAGAGGGAATCAAGGTCGTTATCAATTGGCTACAAATTATTATATTTTTTTTTTTTTGTATTCCCGACGTATTGGTAACGACCATTAATGGTCGTTAATAGGATAAAATATAAACTTGAAACAAATTTTATAACAGTGATACAACCTAACCGTACAATTTTTTTGTTTGGTGGGAACATTTTAGTTATTTTGCAAAAGAGTATACCAACTGTTTGGTGTCAACTAAGCCTGAAATTCATCGAGAAACTGACGATATGAAACCTGGCTATGAAGCCTGAACATGACACGAATCATTTCATAATGATAACGCACTTTGGATTTCTACAGTTCCTATACTGTATAAAGTTCTTATAATACCCGAGAGACACGAATTAAGGGTTGTAAATTCGTCTATTTGTGTGTTTACAATTTTGTTACAACTATGGCGGATGCCTGAAGAAGTAACTGTTGACTAAAAATCAACTATGGCACAGTAGGTACTGAATTAGGTCAATACCCAAAAACAATCAATGGTCAATCGACCGAAAGATTTAGGTTTAATCTGATATGACCGAGTTTTTTTTTTTTTTAGGTTCGGTGCGAGTTACAATTGCCTATGTTTTTTTTTTTTTTTTTAATTACAAACAAAATCGGTTTGTGTCAAGTAAACCGATTGAATCGCGCGTGTTATTTGCCCGTGAAAACCATTTTATAGAAACCCAAATTGTATATGCACAAGAAAAGAAATGATGACTTTTCTTACTTTATTTTTTCCACGTCCGATTCGTGCGGCAAACATAATTATTATTGTCCTAAAAAGTGCCATTAGCGCAATATGTATTATGCGTGATAAACACAAATGGAAAAACACTCGACTGATTTATTAAGACCAACGTCACTCCGCCATACAGCTCGCACGAATTTGTCCTTTAGTGTACAAAAAAAAAAAATTACTTATCTTCTAATTAGCCGTATGTGTGCCGTTTTGAATTACAAACTTAATGTATGGGTACTTAATCCGCATTATTTTTAATGTCAAATTTTACATAGTTATGATATTTGTACGGCCGGATCAAGTTACAACATATTTTTATTAATGTATCTTCCTATGAGGAAATACTTTCCAATACACACACATTAAAACCCGTATTCTAGTTTGAATACAAATATTATACAGTTTTTTTTTTTTATAAGCTTATTTAAATTTCATAATAAACTTTGACAACATTTTTTTATACTGTGTGCGGTCCATATACTTAATCAATAAGTGAACTATTACATTACATTTTGTTACATATTCGTAATCACATATCAGCTATGCTAATTAGCGGTCAACTTTTTTTAAAAATATAAACTGTGTAGTATTGTATTTGTTTACCTATTCTAGGAATTGTTTTTTTTTTATCCTCGATTTTCTTATTGAAATAGTTTTTAGTTCTCACGCATTCGTGTTATGCGGACTGTGTTCTCGGGATGGTTAAGAAACCATAGAATATCTTATATAAGCATTAGCGTTGGTTCGCTTCGGTGAAATATTATCGTGGATTAATTATGGGAATTTTTTATTATCGCAGTGTATATGTACTGCTTACATTTTCAGTTGAATTCTGCATCAGATTTCATCATATTCAGAAATTATGTATTCATCAATCTTGTAACAGTAATTTTGCGATGAACTATTTGCTTTAGCTAAAAAAAAAGGTCTCAAATAAAAACCACTGCGGTAACTCAAAAATACAAAAATACCAGCAGATGTAAGCACGTGATAGAGTATAATATTACCCTTGTCACCAAGTGTACAATATGTGTACAAATATAATTCTACTTATTCAGTTTTTTTATGTTTGAGAACAAGTTCAATTAAACTATTTTTATACACAGGTAAAAATGAAAGTATGTCTTGTGTGTAAATGTCCTCGGCCTAGTGTCGAAACGTAACTTTTTGGAAAACGTCCACTATTGTTTCGGATCTTGGGAACATTTTCTAAATCTTAATATAATGAATATCGAAGCCAAAGCGCTGTCGTGAGAGATACACGTCTATCTCACGTGCATCGGATTACGTTTGTCGGTCTTACGTCTTGATCATTTACAAATTGTGTATGCACCTATACCTATACGTGTGGGAAACTCGGGTCGAGAGATAAAACGACCGAAACTAACCTTGGGACTGGAAAACCTCCGAATATTTAACAATGTCAACGTCCGCCGCATACGTAACACAATATACTATACTGAATGGGGTTTTTTTTTTTTTTTTATGTGGAAATATCAAAGGGGAAAAAAATGGAACGATTTTCAAACGCGAGGACGACGTACACGGCCACCGCCGATATCCTCACCTTGAACGTTACCAATATCGGATGTATTTTTTTTTTGTACAACAGACCGTGTACGTTTTACAAGCCACTCGACAGTCGATGGAAAATAATTCTTTGTGGAAAATACCTTCGGCCATTGAACGTCGCCAACGCCAGGTTTTTATTCGATCGTTGGAATAACTGGCATTTTCCCGGCAACGCCAGGTTTCTTAAAAAAAAAAAAAAAAAGGTTTCTTTAAATAATTTAACGCGCCGAGCCAAGACCTTACGATGCCAAGCGGGGGAGTTATAATAGGTCAAACACGTGGTCAGCAAAGTTGTGTCAACTCTTGCCGGGCGCCAAACAGCCGTATTTGTCAGGTTTTTTTACTCTCACTTTAGTCTAGACTTACTCGTTTTGTATGTTACACTGTTAAATGAACGGAGGTAGACTCTGATAATTATTGAGAAATAATCAAAACCGTTCACATGTGGTACCGTTCAAAGCCCACGTGGGTTCCATTAGTCTGATAACGATATTGTGTCGAAACGTGAACAAACACTAAATATAATATTAATATATTGTCGCATCAGACATTCTATGGTAAACGTTCTTTAATTATACACATATTTTGAAAGCTATTGTCGAGAAGGCGCTCTGTTCACCGTTATTAATTGGTTATTTTATACCATACTGGCCATTAGTCTATCATATAATAAGTTATCGCCTACCGACACGTGTATTTTACTAAACTTTAGCTTACAATTAATAGTTTTTGTAGAGGAATATAATTGTTATTTCAATTTATATACCTAGAAAAAACTTGAGCAACACTTGTGGTTATATTTGATAAATTAAATAAAAAAATTTAAATAAATCCTTAACCACAAAATCAATCCTCTATAGCGTACGCTGTATTATTTTTGTGGTTAAGGATTTTTTAAATATTTAATTCTAATGACAAAACGAAAAACGAAAATTAGTCGATATGTAATGTTCAGTATAATTTTCAACATTTTTTTTTGTATTTACATAAGTAATAAATAAATGGTAAAGGTCGTGAACGCGAAGCAGTTATGTATACCGGATATTGATGTGGTTATGGTAGTTACATATTAAGTGTTTCTATTGTGATATAGTAGTAACAACAATATACGTCTAATAACCATAGAAAATAAATTATGAGTCATCCTATTGTGTGAATGTGCTCGGAGACATTATTAGTTATATGTATGTATTTGGTAGCCAATGTTTGTACATTTGAATAACAACAGTTATCATTTATCATCTACCGTTTGTCGATAATGATAATTTAACTGTCACAATAATTAATAGTTACCTACATGCGCATACCCTCTGGCCACTACGGTATCTTGTCGAGTACCACAATAGAACGACAATTAAATACTATAGGTGTAAACAGCGATTATTTATTTGGAGTACAATATGTGACGTTGAGAGAGCAACACTGGTCCAAGTCATTAAGTTCAATTATCAATATTAACATTTAAAAAAATTATTATTATTGGTTAAAATTATTTAATAGTTTTATGTTACAACAATGAACCTATCAGAAACATAAGTATGTGTATTAATAAAATGATTACAATTATCATAACAATTAACAACGCTGCGGCGACTTGAACGCTGGTCTCTAAAGTTTTTCACGGGCCATTTTCTTTATTTTTTTGCCCCTCACGAAGTGGCGTTTTTTTGTATACTTGGACAAGTTTAACGACGAGTATACTCGCGTTGCATTGTTCGAGACGGTGGTTTCCAAGGTTCGAAAAACGCGAGCTCCGGTGGAAACCGTGAACCGTTACACACTGTAATACGGAGTCGACCGGCGTGC